GACCTCGACGCAACCTCTCAAAGCGCTCCAGGGCTATGAGCCAACCTGAATACATCCATCTCTGGAGCATTGCAACAGTTATATAGCGATGGCTATGGTTATCTCGTATAGTTTGCTGAGTTCCTGAAACATTGTGGTGTTGGAGGCTGACGCGCTCTGGAGCTTTACCGTGTAAAGCTAAGCTGCGGCGCTTGGGCCACATCCTATTGGTGCTGTGAACAGGGGAGCTCATGGGCGCCAACCGTCAAACCAACCTTGGAACACTCCAGCTTTTGCCGCATCCCATCTCCAACCAGCCGCATCTATGCAGAACAGAAATGTCTACATCCGTGTCTGCTATATCTCAGCATGGACAGCGTTATGAGTATTGCTCGTCCCAACCGCAGCCCCTAATGCAGGCATCACATTCGGAAAGCGTGTTTGTCACGAGGTATCATCACAAGAGACCCGCACGTTGACACTCCATGCTAATAAATAAACAGATCACAGGTATCGCTGGTGTACGCCACGCGGTGGCTATTGAACCAAGTCAACAGCTGTCTCGTAAACGCCTCCGCAGAGCATCGTTACCTGTTCACGTTCAACTCGGATACCCCGACGCACGCGTCCCATTCGCTCGCCGAACGCCCATGAATGATATCAGCCTCTTCGATACATCCCGATACCACCCCTACCACCCTTGTGGTGTCTTTGCAATATGATGCAAGCGACGATGCGCAATGTTGCGCGCAGATTAGCTTCATTCGCTTGCTCGCTCCATTCTGATGCCAGCGGCTCCTCCTTCTCGTCCTCCAGCATCCTGCTCGATGAACGATTTGTTACCACGACGCCTTACTACTAAGAGCACTTGCTGCGAGTCCCGACCTGTTCTTCGTCGCTGTCACTGAACATAGCGAAGACGGAGCGCTACGATGGCCTGACGCTGCGACAATCTCATGACCACATGGACATTCCCACCCCGGATCGGGCGGTTGTAATTGCGATGAGCATGCTCAACAATCACCGCCTCGAACCTTGTTACCCCACTCATCAATGCGTCTCCGCTTGCGTCCGTAGGCGCGCTCGCTGTCGGTGATGAGTATGTCGCGGTTGCTGAGTAAATAATCCTGATTCCTCTTCTTAGAAATTGGGGGCGGCTCGATGTTGTACTTCGCCATGTATTCCTCAAGATACATCTTCCACTTCCAATCCGTTTCCTCGTTGTCTTTCTTTTCTCGCGGCTCCACCACGACCGCCTCCTCTACCGCGGCCCTTTTACGTTTTGATGACGGCTTGGCCACCTTCGCGGGATCTCCGGCGATTGCATCCGTCAGAACAGGTTGATGGTGTCTCTCTATCTTGTCGCCGTAGTCTGCCTTCTCAATGATCAGGCGCGTCGCGTTACTCATGCTTGACCCAAGCCCGCCCCTAGTTCTCTCTTCTGCCAGTCTTGTCGTTACTCCGTCGGACTGAGAGTGTGCGGCCGACACATCAGTCGTATTTGCACTGTTGTTGATGCGTTCAATCGCATCATGTCCACTGGCAATAATGCTCTGGTCTTTATTCTCTGCTGGTGTCTGAAAAGCTCTGTCGACGGAGGTGCCGATGTCGCTTCGTTGCGCCCTGCTACCTAAGCTTTTCTCGGGGTGTATAGGTGTCAAATCAAGACCCGTTCTTTCGGGTGTTTCTTTCTCGTCTTCCGTGTGCGACGCAGGGTTTCGCTCAACCATGGATTCCAGTGAGCGCTTTGGAGTCTGCGAGCATAAGGGCGAAGTTTCCCTTGTCGCCTCCGCTAAAGATGCTTGACCACCTGCACCGAAAAGGATTTCATTCGGGGTGATATTACTACCTCCCTTCGTTTCCCGCTGGTTGTCTTTCATGGCAGCTTCGCCTTCTGCTCTTTGTCCTACTAGGCCGGGCCCATTCGCTTGCTGGCTAGTCGGCTCACTGGCACGACTTAGAGTCCTCTGGACGTCGGTGAGAATCTGTTCGATCTTCTGTATTGAAGTAGGCGTTTCCTCTGGGGCACAAAGAGCTGGCGGGGCCATCGTGGACTCAACTCTGATGGCAGAAAGCTCGCCTGGGGGCATCTTGGGAGCTGTAGCTGCGGCCACATCCAGGTCATCCGCCGCGAACTGTCCCGGCCCATGCGCCTTGGCCTGCCTTTCCAGCTCGGCTTCGTCCTTCCCAGCAGGCTGCTCTGGCCCATAGACACCAACGGCAACACCAGCATGCCATCTCTCAATGTGACCTCGGTCGAGCTGTTTTATCGACACTTGGTCCCACAAGTCTATGTCGTATGCAATGGTGGGGTCATCATCGTCCTCAGGATCATAAATCGTGACATCAGCAGCTCGAGCTTCTTCCATCACTTTGACATATGCCTTCTCAGCTTCGTCGAGGCCACGGATAAGAGGGCGCCAACCTTCAAGCCAGTGTCGAGAGAACTCTGCTTGGAGGTCGACGACTGGGCGGTTCACTTGCTGACTGATGTATTGTTCTAGCATGCGCCTGTATTCTTTGCGATGGTCCTCATGCTTCTCGTGGGCTGCTTGCCATGCACGTCGTTTAGACCGCTCTTTCATCTCAATTCGTGCGCGTGTGAGCTCACGGTGGTTGCGTGTTGGTGCTGGTGCGCTTTTCAAACAGCTTCTGTCCGTCTTAGGTACCGAGAGCGGCCATTGAGCATGATTGGGGTTGAGTGATGGTTGGTTGGGCTTCTCAGGATTGATCTTCCAAGGCGGCTGGATCTTTCCCTCCGACTCTGGCAGAAGATTGGATCTCGTAAGGATATCTTCCTCCATGGCCTCTGTTTGTCGCACAAGATCAAGCCATATATGTCTGAAATTTTGCAAGTATCCAGGCAAATAATCCCGCTGAGCTTTCAGATCATCCTGCACTTGGCAAGCGGTTCTGATATCTGCTGAAAGTGCCCGAACTTCCAGCATTTCGTCTTGGGTGGGTTTTCGGCCGTTCTGTTTAACAACTGCAAGCATCTCCACAAGCTTCTCTTGCTGCTTACCTTCGAGCTCCTTAAGACGACTTTCCTCATTTGACAAGTCCTCCGCGCGTTGAGCCACAGCGTCGGCCAAAGCGCGCAAATGACGGCCTGCTTCGACCTTCTCCTTCATCCTTTCAGCGTATTCATACGACAGCTTCAAGCAAAGACCGCCATTGTCCCCATTGCTGCACTCTCGCTGGAATAGCCGCGGGGCCCCTCGTGTGTACAGGTCTTCAGAGTTCAGCCCGTCTGGAGACTCCCAAGTATCGACTACAGAATCTGCTCTCATGACCGCGCCGACTGGGGAGCCTTTCGAAAGCTCTGAAGGATTTTCAGAATTGTGTTCGCTCGTCTCGATTTCGCGTCGAGTGAGATTCGGTACCGACGCAGAATTGTCGTGGGCGCGTGTATCGCCTTCTAGTTCCCGGGAATCTGCCTTTGAGCACTCACCGCCTTTAGCCAGAGACGAGGCTGCCGTCGCGCCAATTGGCAATGTTGATATGGGTGCGGCCATGTCTCCGTATGTTGATGGTCCTGGCGCTGTTTGTGCGGCGACTTCGTTCACAGGTAGCTCACTGTATGGGCTGGAAAGTATTGCCGCGTATCGATTTTGGCCAACGCTCGTGTGTAGGAAGCTGCAACAAAGGTAGGATGCCGTGCGTGGTCGCAGTTTGTCTGCACGTATCAGTGACGACTGTGCGGTACTAGCGGGCTCTAGCTTACTGGCCTCACTAGTACTCTACGTATTTGTTCCAATTTTCTTATTCGCTATCGCGCCAAGAGACCGGTGTCTTTGTCTGGACTTTGCAACTGTCCCCGTAGTTCCTATTGTTCTGTGTATAGATCGTCTATTCAGATTCAAACGGATGTCGGCCTCACCAGCTTGCGATACGATCTCTGGGTCTCATTCACTTCCGCTTTCTTGGAGTGAAGGAATGTCATGAGTACACCTATTCCATCGTCAGTGGGGTTTTATCATCCAGACCCAGCAGATTCGCGATACTCACAATGACCACCCGGGCTTTGTTGCCGTTTCATTACGGCTCTGCGAGGCATAGTGAATGCTCTACTCGTCTCCCAATGGGGCTTAAGTCGCAAACGCTCAGCTGAGTGTTTCCTAATCGGTCTAGTAAGCATTCTCGTGATCTGTGAGCCTACCCGTGTTTACTCTCCAATTGATCTGACAGCTTCCTCCAGAGTCACGCAAGCTCTCACCACAGCACCGCCATCCATACGACTCCTCCACAACGCGCAAGCTTGAACTTGCAGTACGATCCATCGTCGCTGACTGCGCTCATTGCGGTCGCGGTTGATATATCATTACTGCAAGACAAGGCGCTTCCCGACCCCGCCGTGTTCTATACAAACGCCATCAACCAACGAATATCGGGCCTACATTATGGCGAACAAGTCTGGAACTTCCAGTGGTATTATACTCGACCCTGTATCGGGCGACAAACAAGCTGACCTGCAAGCTGACCGTGTCTCTCCACGACCCGTCGCAGTCTCTCCACAAGCCTCGCGCGTTAACGCCGACAACTCCCCCTCTTCAAAACTAGCAGCTTCGAGTAACATCACCATCAATTTCTCCGGTACTAATACAGCCAACGGCGTTCAGGCAAGCGTCGATGTTGACCAGAAGAACACTGTTCGCAGCTCGTCATCAGAACCGCCTCATACTGGTATGTTTACCGTGGACCAGACTCCTCGATAGTCTGTCCTATTCCTATCGGCTTATGTGTCCGGTCGTAGTTTTACATCAACTAACGCCGTGAAGGTCCGCATTCCAAGATCAATGTTGCAACGTCTGAATCCACTCGGCCTTCGGATAGACGTATCGACACAGTCGCCGAGCGGGATCGTTCCAGCGCCGTTGCGTTAGCCAACAACGACACCCCGCAAGAAGCACGTCATCCTTCGCAAAAGACTTCTCGATCATTGTCTTCCACTTCAGGATCGAGCGCTCAATCTCTCACAGAGAACAACGATTGTTATCGGCCTGATTACCTTCCCCGATCTGATGGATGGGTCCCAGTTGACCTGCCTCAAAACCCTCCGCTTCCCGACAGGCATGAGAAGCTTAGGTACGAGGTCAATCACTTTTTATCAAGAGCTGGTCAAAATAGCTGGGAATCGATGCTTCAGCAAGTGGACTCAGACGAAGTCATCGTGGGTGTCACACCAGTTACGGATCGAATGAATCGTCCAGCTAGACCGCGTGATCGCAAAGAGTACGAAGTTGGTCAGGTACGCTGGACATACATCGTCGAGACTAGTTCTGATCCCGGCCTGATCAACAACGGCGGTGACCAGGCAATCCGGACTAGCGAGGGCCTGATGCTAGGAAAATGGCGCCCCACAGTGGTCGTTCGTGTAGACAAACAATACTGTGTAGTCGCAGAGCTGGGTCGTCGACGTCGCCAGTATCTTGACGGACTCTCACTGAGTGACCTTCTGGGCCGCTGTGGCGTCGCTCTGGACCTCAACTACAGCCACGACTACGATACTCTTTCCGAAGATCATCTTTTGTTCCGCTCTGTCGCAAAACCGCTCGAAATTGGTGGCTACGAGGATGACGACTTCCAACTATCAGGGTGGAGTGTAGTACAGCCAGGTCGTCTCCATACCCTAGGATTCGACGACCATTCCCTTCCATGCGGCTGGCTAAAGGCGGAATCGACAGAGCAGTTGTTGGCAATGCAGGCACAGATGTCTAAATTGCGAGCGATTGTAGAATCGCGATACGACCGAAAATTCCTGCGAGCGCCGCTTCCCTCCAGGCTGACTCCAGAGCAGCGAACAGCGCTATCACACATCAAGGATGTATATCGACGACTACTTTCTCCTCCCGCCCAGACAACTAGTACCTCCTCGGGACAGACATCAAACCAACAAGATGATCTCGAAGAGTTCGAAGCGCTGGTGGAGGGCAACCGTCGCGCTATCGAGGCAGTTAACGCACCACCTCTGGTGGCTAGTGAGCCTGTTGAGTCCAAATTCTCCATCCCCGACAATGGCCGCGGCGTATCACCCTCTTCAATAATACAGAAAGCGAAATCTGTTTCTCATGCAAACTGGAAGTCTGCAGCAGCAGCTGTTTGCCAGAAGGAGGATATGCTTTACCAGGCGAAAGAGGAGTATGAGACGGTCGAAGCTGATCGGTGGTCAACTACTGGCGAGCGGAGGAACCTAAAGCGCAAGCGGGACGATGTCGAGATGGAACTTGAAATTGCACAAGTTCGTGAAATGAGCTACAAGAAGCTTCACAGGGACGTCAGAAGTTTCCAGGCGAGCCAGTATCGTGGCCAGGACAAGGAGATAAAGCTGTGCAACACTTTGACAAGCGCATTTTCGAGGGCCCAGCTAGAGACTCGCAGGGCCAAGAACCGTCTTGATCAACGTCGGCGCACTCCACTCCCTTAGCAGCGATGCTTACACTGGCCGCATCGCATACGTATCTTGGAAATATTGGCTGTATATCCGCTACATTCTCGGTTCCGCTGTATCCTATGTCCCAGTATTTACTGCGATTCCAGGGCTTCATCACGCACTCGGAGGATCTGACACATTTCTCATTCGGTCTGGTCGGCTTTGATTAATTCACACCCCCAAAGGGTCGGTTTCGTTTCTTTTCTTCAGTGTTTAGCAAAGCTTTGAGTTAATGGGTGGCGCTCGGCTTGCTATCTTCGTCTATTGTCCCGAGACTTTTGACGCACTGTATATTACACACGGCTTACGTTAGAGTTCACGTCTCTAGCATATCATAAATTTCCAGCGAATGAAAAAGGTGTGCATAACTGTAAGTTAGTGCGATGAAGCATTTACCACACATGAAACTCGTACTTGAAGCTTGATAGCTCATGCAGTGACCCGTCTATGCCTTGGATTAGTCCACTGTACTTTCTGCACAGTCGCATAACCGCTAACGACCTTGTGTATGTTCACAGTGGCCATCACACCTTACCCCTTGGTCATAACACCACCGCCATTAGCTCCAATGACTTGACCAGTAACCCATCCAGCCTCAGGCATACACAGTAACCCAACGACACCCGCAATCTCTTCTAGGTACGCCGGTCTTCCGCCCAAATCCTTTGCCGCCGCAATCGTCTCCTCCGAGTCAATACCTTCTCTCGTCGCAGCCAAAGGCGCCATGTAGTTCAGCGACCAGGCCTTCTCCAACATCTCCTTCGGGAGGCTTGTATACATGCCCGTAGCTATCGCACCTGGATTGATGGCGTTGACTGTGCAGCGTTCGGCAAGCTCGCGAGCCCAGACACGTGTCATTGCTTCAAGAGCGCCTTTAGTGCCAGCGTAGCAAGACTGCCACCAGAAGCCCATCGAGGTTGTGATACTAGAGACATTGATAACACGACCGGATCTGTCGTTCGGGAGATACGGTAGTGCAGCCTGTAATACGAAAAGTGGAGCGCGCGCATTTAGGTTGAAGGTGGCTTCGAAGTCGGATAGTGCGACTGATCCCATCGGCGCTGGGTTGACGACTGCCGCGTTGTTTATAAGTATGTCGACCTGAAATGTATCGTTGTTGCTGAATGCCGATTTCGCCGCATCGATGAGTTGGTCCGGGCCGTCGGGTTTAGTAACATCAACTCTTGCTACTAATGTCTTGATGGAGTGATTAACTTCTAGCTCTTTAGCTAGCGCGGTTGCGTTTTCTGTTGAGGATTCCGAAGTGTAGTTGATGACGATGTTTGCTCCCTTGGAAGCCAGATGGCGTGCCAAAGCAGCCCCAAGGCCTTTTGAAGGTCAATCAGCATCTTCTCTTCATCGGGTTCACGAAAGGAGGGACATATATACCGCGCGATGCACCAGTGATGATTGCTAACTTGTTCTCCAAAGATCTTGTCATGGCCGATGTTGGTGCTGGGTTGAGATAGCACTGTCGCTGCCTAGTTGCCCACTTTAGTCGAGCGTAACCTACTTGATACTTTTATGCCTGCGTATATGCCAACAAATCTTGCATAAACACCAATAGTTTGGCGAATACCTCATCCCGGGCGCTGCATGTGACAATGATCCTTCGCGTAGGCGGAAGAACATGGGTATGTCCCGCGGGTGGGGATAGGCTTGGCCAGATCGGCGGAGAAGAAGGGATACATGTAACTAGCCCGCCTCATCTTCTTGATAATTTGGTTTTCGAACTGCGGGCTGCTATGTCTCTTGCGATCTGAGCAAGCTTTCACGTCCTTACAGCCCCTCTGGTCAGACTTGTATATCATTTCATTTTGACTGGTCCTTCCATCGAAGAATCCATCATGAGACTGCAAAACCGAGTTGCAATAGTGACGGGCTCGTCCCAAGGTATCGGGCGGGAGATCTGTCATCAGTTCTTCGTTGAAGGAGCCTTGCTCGTATGCGCTGATCTTAGACCTATTGGAAAGGGCGAAGACACTGCTACACACGAATGGATCATCGGCAAAGGCGGACGAGCCATTTTCGTTGAGACCGATGTCAGTGTAGCCACCAGCTGGGAGGCACTCGTTGCGCGAGCAGTGGAGGTATATGGTCGACTTGATATGTGAGTATTCGTCCAGCTATCATGTATACGATCAAGTAAGAGAAGTGACTGATATTGTGGCCCTAAAAGAGTGGTCAATAACGCTGGCATCTGCACGGAGGCCAGCAATCCGCTACCCATCGATCAAGTCGACGAAGATATGTTTGACGCCCACATGCGTATCAACACACGAGGAGTCTTCCTTGGCTGCAAATATGCCGTTCGTCAGTTTAAGGCACAAGCGCCGCAGCCCAATGGTATGCGCGGCTGGATCGTGAATGTCGCTTCGATGGTATCCAACATCGGTATGCAGGGCCTCAGTAAGTTATTCCACGCGAGAACGTATGATCATTTTGCTTTTGGCGTTGGGCTTACATGTTCCAGCTGGGTATACGGCGTCCAAGGGTGCTGTGGCTTCGATGACGCGAACCATTGCGCTGGATGTTGCGAAAGAAGGCATAGTCGCCAATTGCATTGCTCCTGGATGTAAGTCACCCTTTCCAGTATCGCATGGGCCACTCTAATGTCTTTTGCCAGTTTCGCAAACTGCAATGCTCGAGGATGCGCTTGGTGGGGCCTTGTCGTCCGCAGCGGACGCGGTCAAAGCCTCTATTCCTCGCGGCAAATTCGGCCACCCCCACGATCACGCAAGGGCTGCGGTCTACCTCGCTAGCGACGATGCGCAGTGGGTCACCGGACAGGTGTTGAATGTTGATGGTGGCTTAACAGCACAATGAGTCTTGCAAAATTTGCCGTGCATCGGGTCGCACGTCCAATCAGGTGGTCTTACAGATAGCCTGCAGGTACTGCCTCCGGAAACGTCTGGACTTCTTGTTAGCCCTCAGAATTGAAGTCTGTCTAGAACATGAGAGCTCTCGCATATACTGTAACTCCATACCGGTTGTGGTTGTGCCTGCATGGCATGCAATGTGCCGGCAGCGGGCGAATTTCAAGGATATCGCGCTACAGCCCGTTTTGGCCGCTCTTCCGCCTTCCCCGCCCGGAGTATCTGTGCGTCAGGCTCCCCTCTCAAGCTTCCCTCCCAGTATTGACCAGCCACTGCCTTCCATACCCTCTTCTCATGTAGTCACTCGTTTTGCCATCAAAGATTCTCTCGGTTCGTTGACCTCCCGTAGCACATACTGCATCCTTGGCGGGCGTGGCAAGCGACGTGGGGCCGACAGCGGCGCATGGACTCGGAAATATCATGACCATGCCGCATCCTCGCATGTCACATGCGCAAAGCGCGGTTCATTGGTAGCACTGACTGCTCGACCTTGTCACATTCACATCAGGCCCTGTCGTTAGACTTGAATTTCGCTGCAAGGCGCTACTTTAGGAGGAGGATGCAACCTTGGCAGGATCATTGCCTCAGCACGAGGGATTACCAACATTCAGAGGCAAGATCTTGTCTCAGGTTCCGAAGAGGATGTGCGTGAAGCTCAAGATGGTAGCAGTATTGTTCATCTTCCTGGACATCTCTCGTCAAGGGATCCATGAAAGGGGACACTCACGAAGCACGGGTGCTTTCCTACTGTCAGCACATAAAGTAGTCATGGGGAAGGAGAGGAGACTTCATCGAGCATTATGCCTAGTCCTACCTCCCCCTCGCTGGCATTGGCCGTCCTTGTTTTGCTTCCTTTCGATATCATCACTTGGGCGCTTCGTTTTCATGTCCGACTTTCTCGAAAAGCATGGGGTCCAGATGACTGGTCTATGGTAGCTGCAATTGTACGAACATGTCAAATTCTTCCAATATCACATTTACTTATCAAGAACAGCCACTTTTCATCATCTCAACGATGGGAATGCTTGGAATCGCCTTCACGGGAGGTGGAAAGAGGGACGACGAACTTACAGTCAACGAGAAGCAGACAGCTATGTTTGTATGTCACGCAGCGTATCTAAAAGGTTAATCATGCTCACTATATACAGTGGTGGTCAGTTCTGCCATGTCACAGACTGCAAGCTCGACAGTAATTGACTTCGTACAGGTTCATCATGCAAACCATGTTCTGCCTTGCCGCCATCCCCGTCAAATGGGCCATTTGCTTCACCTTACTTCGCATTGCCAATGGGAAAAAGGCATATGAGTGGTCAATATATGCGATTATGGCGGCGGTCGCGTGTGTCATGGCCTCGACGACTATATACGAGTTCTTTCATTGCACGCCAATTGCGATGAACTGGAAAGCTTTAGAGGGCGGCACCTGCAAGGCGCAAAGCAACATTACTGGATTCAGCTTTGCGCTCTCTGCGGTGTCGATCTTCTCGGATTGGTTTTGCGCAATCATGTGAGTCCTACTGAAGTATTTGCTCATGTCTTGACTGATCGTGGCATAGTCCCATTCCACTCCTTTGGAACGTCCAAATCGATCTCCGCGTCAAGATATCCATCATCGCCCTCCTCGGCCTCGGCATATTCGCATCAACAGCAGCCATCGTTCGCCTCACCGTGACACTCAACCTCAGCGCGACAACAGACTTCCTCTACTACGCTATGCCCGTAGCTGCATGGGCGCATGCTGAGCTTGGGCTTGGCGTTATTCTTGCAAACCTTTCGGCCTTGCGTCCCCTTCTCGAGAAGATGCTCGACCTTGGCTCGACATTGCGCAGCAGCAAGAAGCGTACCGGCGATCAGGCGTCTGGTGATGCATACATGGAGCTTGAGGAGGGTATCGGCAGTACAAAGAGGACAACTTTGTCGAAGAGACTGAGCGGGCGAACAGGAACTAAAGCAGCTGTTGGTGTTGGAGAAGATCTGGATGGTACCTCTTCTCTAGGTGACGATGATAGGTCTACGCGCAACATTATGAGCCGATCCGGGCCGCATAACATACAGATAGACCATGAGTATGAGGTCAGCTATGAGAAAACGAAAGGCCATTGAACAAGACTAGCGGCTGGGCACATGCAATCAGGCAGAGAAAATTTAGAGCGGATGATTGAGCGTCCGATGCATGGTGAGCCGTAGCACATGATCATACACGACATATAAATAATAGCTACCTCTCATCGATGGATTCTTGCATCCTTCGCCAGTCTGTCAAACTTGTAGATCAATAGCACTTGGATCTAGAGCTCATGGATCGGCGCACAACAGACCCCTGTCGCTGATGCATGGCTGATTAGCCACGCCAGCGGCTAGTATCAATACCCCAACAGTCACGAAACGACATGCAGTATACCCTGACTTAGAACACATGTGAAAGCCCTTACATGTTTTGCCCATTACTCGACAGATGCTACAGTTACCGGTCCGAGCGTTGAGCATAAGCTCAAAGCTTGTAAGAGGCGAAGCCATTCTTGTGGACAACTTTCATGTACAATCTCCTTCGCCGAGAACGGAAGTCCCTTGAAATGGGCTTACATGCTAAGACCACTGCGCTTGCGGGTCAATGTTCCTGGAAGGATGCTGCATGCGCTACTGCATCCCGCTGTCTAGGACTTTTGGCGACCAAGATATCGACTGTGCGAGGTGAGAAGCTATGGCAGTCTGAGGCAAGCCCATAGCTATGCTGATCTGGACACTAACCTGTTTTCGTACAGCTCTTGGTGCTATATACACTTACACTCGTTTTCATCTTCACCTTAACCTCCCATGCTTTCTTCTCTCACCCCTAGACAATGTCCTCGTTTAACAAGATGTCTCACCTCGATAGCAACAACAATTTTCCAGACACCTTACCCGAGAAGCATAATCCAGAACCCGACACATCTCCCATGTCCCTCGACCCCGAAGAAGCAGACCGGCTACGATCACAAGCACTTTCAACAGACGTCTCCAATTTGCGACATGGTTATTTCCTCAGTGCAAGGATCGTGGGCTCGTTCTCTGGAACCGGAATCGTCGTACTTGCGACGTATTTCCAGTTCCAAGCCTTAGCTGCTGCGATATCTTCCGTCAACGTAGATATCGGGCCAAGCGCCAACGTTGCCCTCGTCAGTACGGTATGGACCGTGTCACAGCCTATTTCACTCTTGCTGTTTGGCCGACTCAGCGATCGCTTTGGACGACGGAACTTTGCCTTGGGTTCATGCGTGCTTGCGATCATTGGTGGTATCGTCGCGGCCACAGCGCAGTCTATCGAGACGTTGATTGGAGCCGAAGTCATCATGGGCATCGCATCTGGAGTGCCAGCAGCCTATCCACTTCTGGCTGGTGAGCTCGTGAGTAACAGATACAAATATGTTGGTACTGCTCTAGTCGTCGTGCCAAATGTAATCGCAACGGGCTTTGGGGCATACATCGGCCTGCGATTGGTTCAGGTAGCTGATTGGCGATGGATCTTCTACATATACATTATGATGATGGGTGAGTCAGCATCCATCACGACATTTTGACTTGCTAATAATCATCAAAGTCCCCGGCGCTGTGTTGTGGTTCTTCTTTTACCACCCGCCGTCCTATACTCAGCTCCACGGCAAGAAGTCCAGCAAGATCGCCGAACTTAAGAAGGTTGACTGGGCAGGGGTCGCCCTTTTGGTAGCTGGTCTGGCTCTTTTCCTGCTTGGCATCTCTTGGGGTGGCCCTGCACAGCCGTGGTCATCTCCAAGGATCCTCGGTCTTTTGCTCTCGGGTGCAGTGGCCATTATCGCGTTCATCCTCTACGAGGTCTTCCTACCGCCGGTGCAACCGATCGTTCCGATGCGCTTCTTCCGCGACATGCGCGGATTCACCTGTCTGGAAGTCATTTCAGCAACGTACGGCATTATCAACATCGCGCTCTTTGTCATGTGGCCACAGCAAGTAGTCTATATCTTTGGCTCCACTGTCAGTTCCTGGGAAGAGACCGCATGGCTTTCAACAACAGCTGCATTCGGTCTTTGGGGCGGGATAGTCATTCTCGGTCCTCTTATGTCGTGGATTGGCCACATCCGGTACCAGATCCTGGTATCTTCAATCTGGATGACCGCTTTCCTTGGTGCAATGGCCAGCATCACGGTGGAAAACAAAGCTCGTGCGATTGCCTTTTCGTTTCTGGCGGGTTGGACCATTGGGTGGGGCGAGGTCATCGCCGCGATTGTCGTACAGTATGTAGTTTCGGATCAAGACCTCGGTGTTGCGTTCTGTAAGTTCTTCGTTTAAAACCTCGTGAATGTACCATTGCTGACTGGCGATAGCTGTGATCTCAGCGTCTCGCACTATCTTCGGTTCCATCTTTACCGCCGCATTCATCGCAGTCTATACGAATAAAGTGCCGGGCTACCTTGCATCCATAGTACCTCAACGCGTTTTAGCGGATGGACTGCCGGAGAGCTCGTTAGGCGCGCTGATGGAAGCTGCCGCGACCGCCAACCAAACAGCTCTTCTAGAAATCGATGGCATGACACCGGAGCTGCTTCGCACCACCAACATAGCTATCAGCGATGCTTACTCCAAATCGTATGCTTACGTATACTACTTCGCTGTCGCTATCGGGGTGCTTGCGATCGTCGCGTCACTGTGTATGCGCGATTTCGATGGCTATCTTACTGGTCATGTATCGAGGCAGCTGTACCGCAGGAGAGACACCAGCACTGACCCATTAGAAGCTACCACACCGGTAGCTGGTCAAGGCTCGGTCGACGATAGCGACGGTGCTACGAAGGCCTGATGTGGTCTCTAGATATGATGGCCTGGATTTGGAGAAGATATTTGGGATGCGCAAGCTGAGAGCGCCCGGTTTCATGCGTGTCGCTCTTCACCTCGCGGACATCCCGCGATTGCGATTCGGCCAAGGAGTGGACGATTGGGTTACGCAGAAACGTAGCATAAGACAGCTGTAGCCACGGTGGAAGTATTATCGATATTAATAAGTGCCCGTACAACGCGCAAGGCATGATGCAGATGCGCTCGTGTGATCGCGAGGTTTGGCACTCATTTCCCTCCAAGGGGTGCACCAAGCCGCTAACTGTTCTGGGCTTAGATGTGTCATGCCATCAATTGATGACGTGATCGAGATTGCACAGATCGCGCTCATCCGCACCATCACCATCTTCGCACACGTGGAACTCGGTGAAACGTGCATACATTCGAATGTTCATTACTAGGTCTATAGTGATTCCTATCCAACGGGTTGTTGTATCCTGCGTGTCCAGTCGTCGATCCGCCGCCGTTTCTTTCCCTCCGCGCAGTCGCTGAAGCTCCAGTACAGCTCCGTGTGCCAGGACTTACTTTTCGATGCCAGCCTCAGCACGGAGTCTTGCGTTGGTGATGTCTCTCTACAGGGCTCAACGCCGGCATTCGGCATGATATCCTCTCCTGAGCTCGAGACGTCGTCATCTCCCTCTGCTGCCCGTTTCCACTTCTCTGCCATGTGCAGTAGGTACCCCAAAGGCCGCAGGTTGGGTTTGGAGCTCGCGTCAATGGCATTAATCCATTCCTGGACGGCATCTCGGTCAAGACACTGCTTCTTCACTGCTGCATATTCCTCAAGATCGTATGGGAAGTTTGGTTCCCTGTCATCGTCCGAGCCTATGATGGAGACTGCTGCTTCTGCTGCAGCTACCAACTGAGCTTCATGGGCCGCTTCTGCGCGTGTCACCGCTTCAGCAAGCTTGCTTCCAGCGCGCACATAGTCGCGGCTGAACTCTTCCTCTATGAGGCGGTCGGGTGCATCCGGTCGGTCGGCAGCAGCAGCAGCAGCGCGTGCCGCGAGAAGTCCTCGTCGGAAAGTGTTACGATGTTCGTCGTGTTGTCTTTGAGCCTCGTGCTTCTCTCTCCGAGCTTCGGCCTCTCTCACGATAGCAATGGCCTGACCAACGCTCAATTCTCCCTCGTTTGCTGCTTTCGTCGTGGCTTCATTCTCGCCAGGCAGAGGTTTAGAATCCTTCTTTTCATCGAAGCGTGACACGATGGGAGGCTTACTCGCCACCTTCATCCCTTCAACTCTCTGCGCGACGGGAGGAACACTCACCGCCTTATCATCCTCAAACAGCCCGCACCGGACAAAGATATCCTGCAGATTCTTCTCTACTACCATTACAACACCTTCCCATGCTTTACGGGCAAGCTCAATGTCGCGCGATAGAGTTTTCTTTTTCTGCTCAATCCTTTCCATCTTCTGATTGATTTCATGCGCTTCTCGGTGCAAGCGCTCAGCCGTGGGACTTTCATGCGGAGTGGGCGTTCGGCCTCCACTGAGCTTCGGCAATCCTTGCAAACGATGCTCGACGGACTTTTGCGACAGCCTGGTCATTCTCAATTCCTGGTCCAGTTTCGGTATGGATATGTGTTTTTCGCGCCGGTATTTGAGGCCGGTTGAGATCTGGTTTTGGATCATCGTTGCCAGCTTGTATGGAACCTTCATCAACATTACAGGCGGGCTGCTGTCCACCTGCTCAGTCTTAGCCCTCTTCAAGATGAACATCTCGGCAGCTTCGTTGGTGCACAGCTGCTCGATGTCTGTCATGCTCTCCCTGATCGCAATTTCTGGGCCTTCCAGAGGTGAACCTCGGGTAGAATTATCATGCGTTTCTGTATCGTTGTGAGCCATTGGAATGTTCACACTTCCGACGTCTTTCGTACCTTTTTCTAACGACGAAGAAAACTTTCTCCGGCTTTGATATATATCTGGAGGCGGTTCTCCAGTCGTTCTTCTTTTCTTTGTTCGCATGTTCTGTGTGACGCCTTTGCTGCCCTGCTTAGCTGGACATCTTTCGGTGTTATCGCTATTATTATCTCCGCCACATTCGAGCGCTCGCTTTCTGGTCTTTCCAGTCTGATCCGCTTCATACTGAGCGACTTCTTCGAAGTGATCTTTAATGTTGGCCATGATGGAGGGGCTACGTCTGAGGCGAAGAGAAGACTAGGTATTTGAGACTGTAGATGTAAGCGAGAACAATGCACTTCTTTGTTTAGTTCTACATTGTGGTCAAAGCTTGTCTTGTATACATGAGTCCTAGGTCTCCAGTGTCTTGCGGCTTCGCTTCTGTAAGTCGCGAGTAGATACTGTCCCAACACATGATGCCGCGGGTCGACATCAACAAAAGGACTCGAGCATTGGGACGGTTTTCGACGACGTTAGGCGACTAGGTACCTTTCGGTCTATTACATTGCCGATGTGTTCGCCACCCTATTCACTCAGTCTGAATGGTGTTGGGTGAATGGCATGTGTTAGTTCGCTATGCAGCGCGTCGCAATATGATTGCAGCGACGTTGCACGTTCACAGAGCACGATCTGCTTCACTGGGCCAAAATATATGCATCGCAATGTTCACGGACCATTGCATGAAACTATAAATGTGAACACACTTGCGGTGTTACCCACGAAGAACCCCCTTGCATCCACACCGGTTAGACCTGACTACAACCCAATTCAACCACGGAAGTCGTTTTCGGATCTTCGCGGCTTTAGCATCTGAACACGCATATTGACGACAGATATGGCAAGAACAAACGCGGGGCCTCGGCCTAGTAGGGGCAGACGCGCTACCTGGTCACCTTATGCCAGACGTGCCCGTAGCGAAGCCGACATGGACAGACTGTTATGGCGAGCAATACCTCCTGGCTTCGATGGCCCAATCATTGACGAATTCCCCGGTGAGCGGATTGAGGCGGTTTATCTTGTTAAAGCTTCGAACACCAAGCACTTTCGGCTCCTCTCACAAGCGGAGATTGACCGGCTCAAACTAGGTGACTTGTTTCGAGCCATAGTACACGAAGCAACCACATCTCCTCGTGAAATTGGAGAAAAAGGAATGACACCCACCATCTTTGGCCAAGCGGTACCCAAAGATCAATTTTTTGTCCTCGTAAAGAAACACCGAAAGCACGGGGTGTTCGTACCTGTGACATGCCGAGAGTTGCAGGGGCTAGAAGGCCTTAATGAAGCAGAACGATATGCTTACATCGGTTTTCGAAAGGAAGGGGACGTCTTTGACCGCAATAAGCTTACTGAAAAAGACCCCCAGTACCTAGCTAAGTGGGATCCGCTTATGCTTGCCGAAGGGGACTTAGATCCCTTCTCGTTTGCGAACCTCTCTTACCCAACGTCATTGTATTGGTCCAGCAACCTCCTGCGTGCAGGCTGCCTGACGAACCTCAGTACACAGCGGGTGCTTGAACTGTTCGAAGAAATCGACCAGGTCACTCCAGAACAAGATCTTTCATCTGGAATGGAAGAGCTGAAGGATCAAGAGAATGCATTTATATTCCAGCTTCATGAGTCCACTGCTAGCGGCGAAGAGGATCCAGACCGGCCAAAAGGTACTGCAGATGAGCAAATCGCCGCCTACAGCGCACAACATCGTGACGTCGAATCTGTTTTGAAACCTCTGAAAGAAGTCGAAGATAAGATATTTCAGGCCGTGGACGATAGCACCATCAACGCCGCCAAGGCAGAGAACAACGTGCGAAGAAAACGGTTCGAGTACCACAACGCGCTTCAAGCTGGTGACATCGGTATCCTTGCACTAGAGTTGTACCAAAAGGAGATCGAAGAAGCCAAGATCGATCGTGACGAGAAGCAGAAGATCAAGGATGATATGGTGGCATTAGCTGAGGAGATGGAGCAGAAGCCCGAACTGAGGCCTCGTATCCCGGCTGGAGCGGAAATCACGGAGGGGCGGATGACTATCATTAATGACGCTATGCGATCGCTTCAGGACCGTATGGATAGCATTTCTAAGCAGATGTAAGTTGACTGGGTCGACCTACACGTGTGGATAGGCATTGCAGCATGTCTTTACAGCGCATGATATAATATATTCCTCAGTTCGTCGTTAACTCGCCCCTCGATACAGTAACGCCGTGAACTAAACATCACTCTAAGCTATGCATCATGGGCCCAAAAATGTATAATGTGATCTTGAAATGAACATGATATGGTATTGGGTATTATCGCACCAAACAACTAACTCCAAAGCGCCTCGCTACTATGCCATCGCAAGTACTCATACACGCGTCAAGTTCGCTCCCTCAAAAGCATCATACCAGCCCTTCATTTCCCACCGCCTCGTCAACAGCCATTGCTTCGTCTTGGCATTCTCATAAATATACGGTTGCTTCCACCACTTCTCGTGGACGCTGACCAGCCCCTTGGCGATATCCACGTCGTTGGGACAACGGATGTTCCAAGTGTATGCGATCTCCCGCCACGGCATCGGCCCGTCCCAACGATGTGCGAAGTTCATGAGGTTTTGTTCGGGGTATCGGGGGTCGAAGGAGTTGGGTGTGTTGAGCAGTTCTTTGTAGTAGTTGAATGCGTCGAGCGAGGGTGCGAGGATGAAGAAGCCGGCGTTCATCTTGCCGGCCTTTTTCAGGCCGGTGCCGTGACCGGGTGGGAAGGAATGGGTCGAGTCCCAGACTTCGGAGTTGGATGCGAGGAGGTAGGTGGAGGGTAGGTTCGTTTCGTTCGTGGGCTTGGTGGCAAGGAGCTGGGCGCCTGGATCGTCGAATACGCCGTCGAGGTTCTTGAGCAGCATCGAGTCGCCGTCCATTACTAGGATGCGGTCGTATTGTGTCATTTCCCAGACGCGTAGCTTCGTCATAACGTCGTCCCATCGGTGCAGCTCGGCGTGGACCCAGCTGTCGTTTTCGGTGTGCAGGAATTCGACAGCGTGGACGATGGCACCATCCTTCGCTAGGCGGTCGCGCCGGGCCTGAGAGACGCTGGGTGTGACCATGACGACGACGTCGTGCTTCGTGCGAGTCTCCTCCTTGTGCACGAGCTGCCAGACGAGAATGCGGATAGCTTGGAAGTACTTGTCCTCCTCGAGATCATCGCCAGCATCAACGGTTCCGGAGAGAAATGTGACGTATGCTAGTCTCTCTTCTCTGTCGAGAGTAATGTTGGCGTTAACATAGGGCGGTGGTTGCGGTATCGGCTCCTTCTTTTCTTCTGATTTGGCGGCGCTGTCGCTTTTGTGACTTTTAAACTCCGGAATAGAAATGTGATCGAACGCGCGCGTTTCCACGGCGAGAAAAACAAATGCCGACACGATCACAAACGTCCCCAGCGCAATCCGGATCCATCGAGGGCTGGCAAAGATATTCCAAGAGCCGGAGGGCTTCATCCAGTTGGGCTTCGACCCAGACATGGACGCCATGGTGCTGGAGCAAAAGAACGACTGGATTCAAGCTTACCGGCAGGCAGCGACGCCCGCCGTATTTCAACCTCATCCCTTTCCACGCCGGTCCCGTAAGCCCAGCCGCATCCGGTTGGACAGCATATTATGCGAGGGGGCAAACCCGTCGAAAGGTAGGCAGCCTACCATGAGTCGCGGACACCCCGGCATATCTTGCGCTGTCCAGACCCTTGCGAACGCTGACAGGCTTGACAAGCAAAGCTTGGCGAGAATGCGATAGTTTGATTAGCTGTTAAGCATGCAGCGGAGATGATCGCCCCCGCCCCCTTGTCGGCGCAGTAAGACCAGCTCAGCCCTGTACGTCTGGGGACTTGCCCGTCGAGTATCGTGAACATAACGGGCCGAACGCTGACCTAACCAAGACTGCACAAACAGAGTAGCCTCGGTGAAATACGCAAATATTTCCTCCTCGGATGCGCCCTTGGAGGCCTTGGATAACCGTCCGAAAATGAAGAAATTGATGCGAGGCTCGTATCGCGTTTGATCTTTCGCTCGTTTGCCCAGAATAGCCGGGCTAGCAGCAGTCGCGCCACGCCTACTTAGGTACAATCCGCTATTTCGGGGCGCCTAACGACGCCAAATTAAAAACGCAAAGCTTACGGTCTGGAAACTTACAGAAAGACATGCTGTCGCAGTAACACAAAACTTTCCATGCGCAGTCCGATCGTGCTTCGGAATGTTTTGATCAAACCTTGGAACTGTTCGGCACCGACGGGAACCATAGCACAGGTACACGAGCAGACTAATCTGGTAGGAGCACAGGCATATGCATGCCTAGAAGGAGCAAGGTCTAATAAGATTATACGCATTTCTTTCCTGAAAAGTCTGACGGGATCGTCGGTGTACTGTAGGGCCGTTGCAGCCAGAGTACCCCAGATGGTGATTTCGGCCAGATTTCGCCTGTGTCGCGCCGTGCTGCGGTACTGAACCTGGTCAATCTTCTAATCCGCTGGTAAGATTGCTGAATAATCGGTGGAATACCGTTGGGGGTTCTAGTGTAGGATATACTAGGCGCACCGTGACGGCAGCGCACCGCGTCAAAGCCATATCACGGCGGGTGTATGATTGTACAGATATCCGGGTACCGTTTCATCTTCTGTCATGCCTCACAAGAACGGTGTATGATCTCGCCTTGACCGCTGATGGACGGTGCAGCCACGTCGGTTACGCAAGCTACACCTGGGCACGTTGTAGAGGTACGCCTGACCGGCGTTTACGCGGTATGCAGAAGCTTTCCAAGCCCTTGGGAAGAGTGCGTCTATAATGCACACGTCGAACAATCCCTCAATTTGAACGGCTTCTGCATAACGCTGCTTCCTGAAGGTCTCGAGCTCTTCAATCGAGGTCATTCGACAGCTGTCGCGGGTACCCGTACCGGGTCTCACTCAACGAGGTAAGACTTTGCGTATGATGCAACGCGGCAGAAGCAAACACTGTACCTCAATGGAGCTCAGTCGCCGTGTTCGTCGCATCTAGATTGGGGGGCGGAGTTCCCTGGCGTTCTTGGACGCCCCAAAGTCAAACATCAAACGTGTTTCTTCCCCCATTGTGAGCCCCTCCGTTGAGGTTGAGGCGTGGTAGTAGCCCCATCGCTCATCATAGCGGCATCCGATCGTTCGCCTTACAATGACATTTGACTGCAGCCAATGAGATACAGTCAGATGCGTGTGACGTGGTATATCGCCGG